TTTCTGTTATTGTCACCTTATAGGCCATTGAAGCTGTGAATGTCACAAATGTAGATATACATTAATGAGCGATAAATCATATTTCATGATGTTCATTTAACATTCAGCTCCCTAAATCCTGCCTTTCCTCTGCAGCCATATTAGTTTATGATGTAATGATAGTTACCGAAAATCCCTTTGTACCCTTGGTCCCTGCAGCAGACACCTAGCAACGACCGGTCCTCCCTTGTGTCTTCTAGGTCACAAGCTGTGATAGGAAAGCTGATGAATCTCATGTCTCACATTCACTTTGTCACACTTAGATGAGTGATGCTCAGAGAGAAAGACAGGTGATTAGTTGACTAACAGTTTTATTGGATTTCCACAACAGCACAACCTGTCTCAAGCCAAAGAATGGGTTTAGAGACAGACAGAAAGAAGGACAAATTGGAAAAAGGTATGTGGAAAGGGAAGGAAAATTGGAAAGAAAGGGCAGATATTGAGATTAGAATAAAGACAAGGAGAAGGGAAAACTGGTTAGGGTGGACACAGTCAAAGAGAGGCAGACAGAAAGATAAAGCGACAGACGAGGAAAGTAATCATCTTAAAGGTCTGAGGGTCTCAGTCAGACCCACTTTCTGTCCTACGGCAAAGATGAATGCAAGAGTTAGCTCCTACTGTGTGTGCAAGGATGAAAGATGAACACAATTTCAGCACTGACCTCAAGGGTTAAAAATATGAAACAGTTGCATGTGAGTGTAAAAACACAGTGACAGCATGGTGTGGAAATAAGACTATCCTGCTGCTTAGTCTCTCCTCAGACAATCTAAAGAGAGGCTGCATACTTGTCCTCCCTGCTGTAGAATCTCAGATTTTTGGTTAAGCTGAAGAAGAAATGTTGTCCTTGCTGACAATTGCAGCAACATTTGTCATGAATGTTCTCCTCCCCCACACCTTCAAAAATAAAATGCAATATGACAGAAGTATCAATAATTCAACAGGAGATAATGTTTTCATCAACAGTATTTACACCAGTAGAATATTGTTATTTAGCCATCTGTTGTATTAAGTTTCTAATGATGATCACCAACTCTTAACAGCAAGGATACTCCTACATTATTAAAAAGAAATTGCAATTAATTTGTGTTTGTGCTAAAGGTTTAATAACTTCTAACCTCAATGCATTAACATTTAACTTTGCTTATAACTTTATTCTCATTGGAGACCAAAAACCATTTACATTTTAATTTTTATTCACTCGCTATGTTTTTGCTGTTTGGTATTGGTAAGGTTAACAATATTAATGTGTCGAGACAGCCCATTTTTACATCTAAAAGTAAAAATGTGTCACATTTGAAGGGAGTCACAGCTGAAAAAAACAGATGTAAGATCCTGAATGGCTTTAAGGAGGAAAGGAAAAAAGCTGGGCCTTTTTATATATCTATAATAAAGCTAGAAAGCTTTATTATAGCTCTCCAGCTGTAATAAAGTTGTAACCATTTGATATTTGTTTAGTGAAGAAGATCTGAGTGCAATATTGGAAGTTATAAATAAGGTTTTTAGCATGCAAACTTATGTACAGAAAATGACACAGGCTGATGTTAGACATAATGTTGGGACCTTTTCTTCCAAATTCAGCACATCTTTTTTTATTTGCTATTTATTTATTTGTTTGTTTGTTTGTTTGTTTATTTATGTATTTATTTATGATAAGTTTTATTATTTTTAGAGGTCCAAAAAAATATTTTAGAAGATAAATATTTTTGCACAACAATTATGAATTATTAATCAATACATTGGACACCGACTTTTTAACCTCACTTATTTTACTCTTATTTGGTAACGATGGCTGCATTGGACTGTTAACCAGACTTCTTGCATGGGAGCTGGCCTTCACAGTGTGCGTTTTCACTTATTTAGCCATGTGTATTTTTGAATACAGTTCTACTAGACAAAGTCTCAGCAAGTCAGTAAGTTCCTTTAGATATTCCTCATCCTCAGATGGCTCACAGTCAGAATCCCAAGCAGCTGCTTATTGCCCCCAAATCAGCCACGTGAGTTCTCATGTTGTCTCACAAAAGTCAGCTACACAAATTTACAATTTTTGGACTTTAGAAATCCATCCACCTGAAGAAATTTTGAAAGCCCCCAGATCAAATTCTGCCATGGGCTCCATACAGCCTTGAGACTTCTTTATTTCCATGTATGTTCAAAACATTTTGAACCTTTCCCAACAATTCTATCAAGTCTTCATCTCCTTTTAACCCTGAAACAGCTGCTCGCCCAAAGTAGCTGCTACATGAAATGTATTTATGGATTTGCTCTATTTCTCCACTGACATAGATTTGTTTTTTCTACTGTTTTTTTTTTTTTTTTCATCCTTTGCTGCTGGCAGCTTTTTTGTGAATCTGGGCAGAAGACTTGCCTCGCCATTCTGCTCCAGTTCATATCCAGCTGTCGAGTCTCTTCAACTGCAAGGTTGAACAGTAGGTGCAATGAATATGGAGTAATCCTTTAGGCTTGGTTTTCATTCTTTAAACCAAAAAGTGCACAACCACAAGAAGTAAAACATATTCACCTCAGATATACCTGACATTATGTGACATTATGTGAAAAAAGAGGAAATATTTGTTAGCAATAAAACATCTGTTCATTCAAAGTGTATATCCACTTATGGATGGAGGGATGGAGGACTTGGTGACAGGACTCACTGGGGCAAGAGATGAGGGAAACACAGAGGCACATAGGACAAACAACCATGCACACACACACACACACACACGCACACGCTCACACTTACTCCTAAGGGCTATTCAGAGAGGCCAATTAACTTAACAGTCATGTTGTTGTACTGTGGGAGGAAGTCAGAGCACCTGGAGAGAACCCACACATGCATGAGAAAATGTAAACTGGATGCAGAAAAGCACCAAGCTGTGATTTGAACCCAGGACTACTTGCTACAAGAAAACAGAGGTACAAACTGCACCCCTGTGCAGCTTTGAAATACAAAATAAGTGCATTAGAATGACAGAAATGTGTTTCTCTTTCCACATACTTCATTTGAATGAAAGAAGAGATTTTAATTGTCAACATTTTACTGAAAAAGAAAGTGATGCAAAACCTGACTTTTAGTGCTAATTCATAAGTAGAAGACTTTTGATGCATGTGAGCCATGATTAACTGCAGCAGATCTAAACGAAAACCTATATTTATAGCCCAGAAACACAGACCTGCCGGTTCCCTCTCACTGAATACACTTTTTTATTCAAATTAAATGTTGCTTTCATTCAACCCCCTCCTCCTTTCTGTCTGGCCACTTCATTGGCTTTAAGTGTCTGTGCAGATATAGCCGTGCGTGCTCTAGCTCAGCTTAGTTGAATTATGGTCATAAGGTTCCTCCATGATTATAATTATTCTAGTAAGGTGAATATGTCAACCTCAGATTGCAAAGAACAAAATACTTTGCATTGCATTGCGTCAGGTACACAATTACCTTAACACGTTATTTACATAAGTAGCAGTCTAGAATATATCGACTAAATTCCATGAAAAGGAACAGAAAATCAACATCTCATTGAAACAGTATAGATGAGACACAATTGTGCAAATAACACCATCATTACCCTGACATCTTCTTGCAACAAAATAAATAGTTGTTGCCAGTGTGAATACAAATTTGTGATTTTTTCTAACAACAAAAGCCCTATTTATTTTTCTTGGTGCTGCACGGTCACTCTCCCATGAGTGGAGATAGGGAAGACCGTGAATGTGAGCCTCTGTGATTGTACCAAAGAAGTTTCCACTGTGTATCAATGTATATTAAGTATGTTTAATGTATAAACTATTAAAATAGGCAGTTTATTGAGGTGGTCTCGGGTATTCACGGATTTTAGCTACTTGTAGGTGGCTGTGGTCTTTATCATGGGTCCACTGGAGTAGTTTAAAAACAGCCAGCATAAAATAGTAGAGAAAGAGACAATGTCTCTTGCTATGATTCTGGTTATTTGGGATTGGGTCCCTTAATAGCAGCCGTATGATCATTGTCTGTTTGGGCCTGTTGTCTCTTGTCTTCTTCTGTGCAACACTTGGTTTCTGTAGGATCTAATTCAGGTGAGTTTTCTGGCTACTGAAGCACAGTAGTGCAATGGTCATTATACCTGGAACTTTTGTCAGTTTGGGATGGTGGTAAGTCCTGCTTAAAATAGAAGAAATTGAATTTTCATAGAGCTTGTCAGCAAAGGGAAGCATGAAGAGCTCAGCAGCTAGCATGGATCCCAGATTATTCCTGACTCTGGAAACTTCAAAATGAACTTCACACAATGTTTATTCTGTGTCTCTCCATTTCTCTTCCAGGCTCTGTGAGCTTGATATTTCAAATTAAATGTAGTCCTAACTTACTTTCATCTGGAAAGAGGAAATTAAAACATGGTGCACCAATCCAGTCGTTTTCTTTACTAGCGGCCTTTACCTTATCTGGATTATCAGCTATGGTGTTTTCCTTTTTCTGTTGACAGTGTTTTTGGGAGCTACTCATCTCTTTCCATCACTTTTTCCTTCCACTCAACCTTCCAATATCCTGATACAGAACTTCGTGAAGAATCAGCTTCAGTCACACTGTCAAGTCAGCAGCCTCCACCATTTGTGTATTAATAATATGAATTAAATTACTTTTGAAATTAATAACAGTTAACCCTTTAAATGTGTGAGTTTTACTTTAGGAATTAAATAACTAAAACTTGACTTTATAGTTTCCTAATTTATTGTTTATTCGTTCCACAAAGTTGATTTTTTTTTCTTTTTACTTTTACTTTCTCACATTCGTGTTTAGAGGATAACTGTTGGTGTGTAATCAAAAGAATGACTCAGCATTTCTCTTCCTGGTTAACAACCAGACAACGTAACGCTTTTTTTTCTTCCTGGTATTATAACCTCAAACAACCATCACTCGCTATCCCGCCCATAAGCGTCACTCACTATAGCAGCGAGCCGGGGCTGATCGAGCTCACACGCTCCCGAGCTGAGCCACAGAGAGGAACACAGAGCCGCCGCAGACGGGCTGGAGTCGGAGATCACCTCACTTTGCATGATCACATCCGCAGATCGTCCAGGATCTAAAGATGTGGACCGGCGTCGGAAAGCTCATGCTTCTACATTTGTTACTCATGGAGCTCAGCGGCCACGCTAAAGGTAAGCCACTTATTGGCTCGGAGATGTGGGGGATTTGCATCGCAGCAGTCGCGCTTCTCCGGGTTCAGGAGGGTGGAAGTCTTGGGGATGGCGTGGGTGGGGTGAGGTGGAGGGACCGTGGCTTCCGCGAAGCGACTCGCCTGTCAAAGTGGTCGGTGTCATCATTAGAGCAGCGCTAATGCCTCCGATAGATACTTCCGCTGCCACACGGATTCAGGAGATTAAAATCTTGATTGTCACTTTCGTCAGGTTTTGTGAGCGTTAACACAGGTGACACGTGGTGACAGTGAGTGGAAGCAGCACATGCAAGCCAGCGGCTGATGTTGAGGCTGCAGCCAGAGGACGGCTGCCTGCCTGCCTGCCTGCCTGTCTGCCTGCCTGCCTGCCTGCGGGGATGTGATCAGCAAAGTGCTGGCTGTAAATGCTTTGTTTTTAATGTTTACGCTGCAGTTGCTAAATTACTGCAAAACACATCAACCTAAACAGATCCGTTTAAATGCCAACACAGCACCCGTGGTAGGCACTCATTGTTGCACTAAAGTCAACATATTGGAAGAACCGGCGAGCCATTCATGAGCAGACTGCATTACTGGAAGTAATATTTCAATATTGATTGGATCTGGATGTTACACCGAAAGCAGATACATCTAAAGGGTAATTTAGAGATTTCTCTCATTCCATGCTCAAAAATGGGTTACTCTGTGCATGTTGTTCCTGCTTTATTAGTTAACTTCTTAAAGTTTGAGAAATGTCAGTTAATTTAAAATGACCTTTAACCAACTCCGGAGCACATTTCAGAATGAGTTTCTTAATCTGAATACATACCACCAAGCCACAAAAAAAAAAACCCTGACAAGCTGCTGTTTTCTGACACCACAGGAACTCATACCGACTCAGAGTGTGAAATAGGGCAGTTTCGGTGCAAGAGCGGAGTGTGCATCCCAAGCCTCTGGAGATGTGATGATGACAATGATTGTTCAGACAGCAGTGACGAGGAGAACTGCCGTAAGTAGCCCAAAGTTTCTACATTCACACTTGCATTGTTATTTTATAGCTCTTTGCTCTTATTGTGTTCAATATGAGCTTTTATTTGAATGTGTGAATCCCATAGTTTGAAGCTCATGAGTAACTTTTAAAGAGTGAACCTGGACTGATAATACACACTTTATTTTTGTTCTTCAGGCTTAGGGTTTTTGGAAGTCCCCTTTCAGCACAAACCTTTCATCCAGGATCAAAAGTCACATGACCAATGGAATTATAATTTTATATTTTTTTTTCTTACTAATTCAGATCCTCAGTAAAGCGGATTTGGGGCCTTAACTAATATTGCATGCGGTTTTTACACTTGTTTTGTTGTTAACCCTATTCTGCTGTTGATGTATGGAGTTAGATAGGTGAAATCAGGCTTACAAATGCATTGCATATAAACTAAAACTGCTTTAGAGATCACTCCATGTCTGACACTCACGGATTAGATTGCAGAATTAAGTGTCGTAGTAATTAATAGAGTCATGTGGTCCTGGTTTTCTCCAATTTAATAGATATGGCTGCTTTTTGTGATCTCTTGGGTTATCTTTGAATAAGCTGAGAAGTTAATAAGTGTGGAATGGTATGCAGTAATTATATGATAATTGTTTCATGGTTTTGGAATGTCTATTCAAACATTTACAGCAAAAAAATTAACGTGAAAAATTTAATGAAAAAATTGTGTTTTTACAACTGCTGCCAAACTGTCTAATGCTTAAGATTAGTGTTAAACTCATACTTGTAATATTATTTATTACGTGATTTTTGATGCACAGACTAAAGAAAAAATGGAATTAACACCCATTGAATTTTGTAGTAATTTCCAAGTGAATGGATGTATGCCGTTCTGTCCTTAATATTGCAAGGCATGTACTGTATAATGAGCAGATTAGTCTATCTGCTTGAGTTGTTATGGTCCTGTTGTTGACTTCTTAACATATAAACTTTAGTTTCAAAGTACTCTTATCTTTAATGAGAGTAATTGGTGGCGCTCCTTAAGATCTTTCACCATAACTGCCTGTGCTCTCTGTCTGAAAATACAGCCTGGCCATTGCTTTCCTGTGCAATTCCATTTAATTATCATCTCCCTTCAGTGCTCCATCTTGAATTTCTCCCATTAAGCTGTATTTTTCTGGTTGAATTTCAACCGGGTCAATCAGCGAACAAAAAGAGTTTTGAACGACACCATACATTTTCTGTGCTGCTTTATAATTGCAGTCAATAGCGGCAATGGCAACGGCAATCGGCAATGGAGGAAGTGATCAAAACCAGTCTGTGTTGGCCACTTCTCCAAATTTGAGCCGTTAAAGTCAGAGCAATGTGTAGCACATTTCATTGCTGGCAGAGATGTTGTGGCCCTATTTACCCAAAAAGGTGCTTACAGCACACACAACTTCTGCGAAGTTCCATTGAGCTAACACATCACAGACGTATGCAATGTGGTTGGGTAAAATCCGACCGGGTCGTTTAAAATTTCAACAGAGTCCACAAACAATCTTTTCTCAGTGATCAAGGATCCAGACCCTCTGTACAGAAGCAAAGAACATAATAAGAGACTGGTTTTCCCAGAAACATTCACAGCTTTGTCTTGCTTGTAAATAATAATAAAAAAAAGTGTAACAGTCTTGTTTCAGACAATAGTGAACAACAATAGGTGTGGGAGGGGCAGCCCTGCATTAATTTATGTTCCACAAAGATGGAGAAAACATTGGTCACTTTCCCTAGCATCTCATTAAGAGCACTTGGCCATATGAAGTAACTTTTTAAAAATCTCATAAGTCGATACATCTTCTTAATAAATTCCTTGGCCGGAATTTAAAATGCTTAATCACTTTCACATGTAAACAATGAAATATATGAAATTAACAAAGGAGTAGAAATAATTGAAACCTTGGTTTTTCTATAACTGAATGAAGAACAAGACTGGTATTTGTGGTATGATCATAAATTGGTCAGTGGTTGTATTTGTTGTTAGATGGTTTATTACTTACAATGAAGACCACATGGTTCCCATCTTGCTTTGTTGATGTGCTAAACCCTCAAAGAAAAAGGATTCTGACTGTGTTTGTGTGACTCTAGAGATTTGAGCTTCTTGATAGTGGACAATACTGGAGGTGAGGTAGAATTGGCTTTTAAAGAGCTTGCCTTCTGTCTAACAGGTGTTGTTTGTTTTGCTTGGTGTTAGTGTTGCTCTGAGAGAATGTAAGAAATGTACCTTAAACCACAAGGTCATCCACTGTTCTCTACAGAGAGATGTTTTGTCTGTGGTGGAAATGAGGTCTATGACTTTCATCTCTCTTCACTCTCTTTGCTACATATCTTGTAAGCTTCAGATGTGGTTATGCTTCTCTCTTGGGCTAACTCTCACTCTTTGAATCAATTCATCTTCTCAGTCTCTACCTTTATGTATGTTTCCCCTATTGTTCCTTCTCTCCCTTGCTACCTGGTGTCATTCTTTTCTTTGAAGGCACCAGCTCTTAATCTGTGAAAGCGTCTCTTCCTAAAAGGCTGTCTCATTTCCTCTGCATTCTAGTGTCCAATAATCGACTCTCTTGTGCCATTTTTAAATCATTTATTGCTTCACCTTGACAGTGCCAAAGCCAAAAAGGTTGCGGCCACTCTCCTCAGATCCACAAAGAGCATCAGCTGACAGCTTGGTTGGAGATAAATCCAACAGCATGACTCTGGCTGCTGCCGTGATTCTTGGTGACTGGCAAGACGCCAGGCCTTCGAACAGATGCCAGCACTGCCGCTGTGCCCCCTCCCTAAAACCAAATATCACCAGCAAGAGCTCTGCGGAGAGGGGGTGGAGGCTGTACAGGAGACGGAGGCGGAGAAAAGATGGGACAAATTTGACTGGGAAAAGCAAGATGGTGCAGAGCAGAAATGATGTGAATAAAATAGGACCAAGCGTTTCTGGAGAATTTCCAAAGATTGAAAAAAAAAACAGGCCAAAATGAGCAGGGGAGGTGGCCATTGCTTTTATCCTACCAGCACTTATTTGGCTGTTCCCAATCTTTATTTCAAATGTGAAAGTTAGTATGTCAGAATAAGTTAACAAGTTTCTAAGGTACTCTGTTAGGTTTCTCCTGAAGTGTCCTCCTACTGTCCGTGTAAAGAAGTACATTTAAAATTGTCCTTTTGTGTTCATTATTCTGCTGTTTAAGTCTTTCATTTTCCTTCTCCTCTCTCCGCTACTTCATTCTCAACATGCTTCTTGTTTCCCTGGGAGACAGTGAAGTGGTGATGTGGTCATGGTTTTTGGTGTATTTGCGGCTAAATATAATACTCCTACTCGCATGCATGCTTAAACATCGGAACTGTCCGTTTCCTTTAGGTTCTTCATAACCTATATTTAGGTTGTGGAATCGTATTGAAGAAGAAGGTTGCTTACTTGTTCACACCATTTTTAGTGCTAAATAGGATAAAGAATACAAAATAATTCTGCATCACAATAATCATAAATTTAAGCTGTCAAATCTCTCTTGAATTGGTATGTCCTTGTCTTTTGAATAGCAGTCTTGATTAAGCAGTTTGTAAACATGTGATTTGATGGAGTTTTCCCATAAATGTGACCAGAATAACAAACCGTAGCATTGATTGTGATAGTGTTTTAGTCGGAGATGTTCACATTTTTTGAGGGCTGTTAAGTATTTCTAATCATATTTTATGTTTTGCAAAGGATAGGATCTATTTATTTTCCAATCAAATCAATGATTGCTCTGCTCAGTTTTCATTCTTCCATACTGAGCAGATAACCATTCAGAAGTTTTCTACTACATCGACTTGAGATCATTAAAAAGCCAAATTACATAAATTTTGGGTGGAAAAAAAAGTCTAACATTTGATTAAGTCTGGTTGCCATTTCTCAACAAACTTTCCTCCCAAACATTGTAAATTTTATTTTTTTGTGAAGTTGCATGAAAAGGACAGAGTGTTTTGTGAGAAAATGTAGCAGCAGGTTAAATGACAATGCTAAAGCCCACAGCAGCCTTCTGCAATTTAGAAGGCGGGTGGTCTGATGTTGGTTTTCCCAATCCACTTTAACATATCTTGTTTCTAAGTTGTTCACATCTGCTTATCATTTGGTGAGCTTTTAGTGCTAAACCCCTCAGAAAAATAGCATGCAAATTCTGCCAATGCAGCATTAAAACAACTGTGAAAGTTTCCAAATGTCTCAGGGATCAGCCTTGAAAATACTTTGTGCAAAAGTGCAATACAAATACAGTTGCTTTATTATTTGTCTGAATATTAATCTGTCAAAGGTTTAGTCAGGAGCCAGCTAAAGCTTCCGAAAGTTTTAACCCCAAATTGTAACATCCACTTAGTAAAAAAAACACCAACTCCTTATGTCTTGAACCCTTTATGAACCTGGGAAACCAAGGATTGCAAAACAGATAAAAGCAGTGGGGCACAAACTCAAGACCTCAGGATGGGAAAAATGTTGTTGAGCTGTATATGAGAGTGCGTGCACTCATGTGTGTTTGTGTGTCACAGCAAGACAATGAGTCTTAGATGGGGAGCGTCTCAGCTTCAGTCTGAGACCAACTTCCCATAGAGAAGACATCACAACAGATTTCACGCTGCTGCCATGTGTTTGTATGTGTGTGGGTGTGTGAGAGAGATCAGCCTTTCTCTCACACACAAACACACACCACCCTCCTCACACAAAGACACACACATGATAATGTTATAAGAGACTGCAGAGAAGTGTTTTAGGTGCTAAAGGCATTGCAGTGACACACATACACACACGCAGGCTGACACGTTGGTCACCTGCTGACATACACATGCACGCTCAGACTGTTACAGCTGGAGCCAGAAATGTAAATTGAATGTGAGGTCAGAAGGACAAGGTACATGATGCCAAACCAAGCTTCCTTTTCCTGGGGTAACCCCTAATCATAAGCCTAACAATGACTCTTAAATTGAAGTGACAACAAGTACTGGTTGGTATCAGCAAGTATGAAATTAAAATC